GCCATGCCGCCTAATAATATGAAAACAAGTGTTAGAAAGCAAAAAGCTCTCCATTATCATCCCTGAAAAATATAATTATTAAAATCTGTAAAGTATTAATTTAACTTTAGGGTTCAAGATTTTGGCTTCTTGGTTAGGGTTTAAGAGACCCCAAGAACGTCAGAATCGAAGCATTGTTGTAAATTTTGAATAGATTACTAGAAAATTTACTTAGATAGCAATAATGATGCAAAAAATTTAATATTAAGATATCCTTATTTAAATCCTTTTTTCTAGATTTTGGCTTGTTGGTTAGGGTTTAATAGAGCCCACGAACGTCAGAATCGAATCTAGGCTATAATTAATTTTGAATAGATTACTAGAAAATTTACTTAGATAGCAATAATGATGCAAAAAAAATTAATATTAAGATATCCTTATTTAATTCCTGTTTTCTTCTTACAAACGATTGAATGCAACTATAAATTTCTTTTTTGGGCGAGTCATGCGAGAAGCCCTTACCCTCGGGACATAGTATTGCAAGCGTTAACCAATTAAGAGGATGCCCTTTTCCTATTAGTACTCTTGAATTTTATTATTCCGATAAGGACCAAGAACATAACTTGAAACAATAAACCTAAAGTCACCTATGTAACTCTAAACCTAGTTTTTAAAATCCGTATTTAAATAAAGGAAAGTCTGAGGTCAACCTGCTACCTGACAGCTACAGTAAACATCTAATGGCCCAGTGGGTCGAACTGATGATCACGTTTGTATTGTGTATTTTAATTTTAATTTTAATTTTTTTACAAATTCAAATCACTTGAAATTTGAAGCATCTATTGTTAAAAAATAGGATAATCTAATAAAAATATCAAAAACATAATTCATAAAAATTAAATAGACCAAAATACCTATGAAATTTTTAGAGGTATGTTAGTTAATATATTTTTTTGCGAATATTTTTTTTAACATTTTTTATTAGATACACCTTGATGAGAATAATGGACGTTCAAATTTTCATATTATTTGAATTTATATATAAAAAAAACTTAAAATTGAAATACGAAATACATTTGTGAATGTAGGGCTTACACTATTCTATCGGCCCATGAGCCGACAAGATCTTTTGTAGCTCTCAATTTCAAAAGGAGAAGGGACTTGGATCTCCCACCCTGTTATTTTGATTCCGATACAAATTGTCGGTTCCCAACCCAGATCGTCGGGTTTTTAAATAGTGGTATAGAATGAAGGCAAAAACACGTGCATTGGCGATAGAATACTACCACTCAAGATCATTCATATCAGTATATCACAAATTATAGTGTAGAGCTAAATGGTAGATAAGTTCATTCGTCGGAATTTTAGTGGGGAAAAGCACTATAGAGCCTGAATATTCATGAGAAATAATTTAAAAAAAAAAAAAATCTATGAGCCATTAATTCCCAAAAATTGGAAGTACGAAGAAAAAACAAAAAGGAAAGTAGGCGTCAACTTTTCAGTGTATTAAAAGGAAAGGAAAGGAAAGGAAATAGTATTTGTTTACTGGGCATAGGCGATGATGAGAATGAATAATTGAGTTGAGTGGGAAAAGAAAGGCATTGGTAAAAAGACAGCCCACGGGTGATGCTGCGACGTCACACATGCGCCCCACACGTGATACTATAGAACCCGGTAATCATTTGGGGGAGTCCGATCGGCAAGTGTCAAAGATCGCGCCGTGTCTTACTTATCAATACCCAACTGGTATCACAGACAAGTGTCAACGTATCCGCTTAAGGCGTCAAACCTCCTTTTTTTTTTTATATATATATTTTTTGAATGCAGATTTGGCGTGCTAATTGCCAAACGCAGTCTCTGTTTGACTGGTATCTTTTTACAAGAAAACGCTTAGCACTAGTCAATGAGCAACCGGTTCTTGGACTGTTCTCTTCCTTTTGTATATTCTTTGAATTGGAATGGAAAAGTAAGATTTACGAGCACGGATTTCTTGTTTTAGTAGAGCATTGCTTCAAAACTCGAAATCGTGGGCCACGTACTTCACCCACATGTGGGATCGCTAGGTGATTTATAAAATGGATCGGTGATCCAGATCTTGCATCGTTAAATCCAGTTCGCACTGGTGAACAGCGGTCTAGATCCCCATTTTATTGTGCAGATAAAAACTTGAACCGATAAAAAAACGCATGCAAAAACAATGAACCTGCCAAAAACTGGTCCGGTCGGATCGGTGAATTCGTGTTTTACTGTAGCCAAACGACATTTTTATCGCTGCAAAACGTCATCTTATTATAGCAAATCGCCCGTTCTCTTCTAGACTCAGACGATTTTCTATATATTGATAGAATCGAGATGGGGTAACCGATGCTTAAGTCAGATTTGTGACCACCCGGCATTTTTTAAATCACTGATCTACAATATTGATTTCAAAATAAATAAAATAATATTAAAATTAAAATACAATTTATAGGGAAAAGTTTATATAGAGCCTAGGCTCTAAACAATCAAATTAGAGCCTACCTCAAAACTTTCATTATAATAGGTTGTTTTGATGCCCAAATAATATCAAATTGATCATCTCAACATCAAGATGTATGGACATGAATAAAAATGGATTTTAAATTTTGAAAATAGTGTATCTTGTAATGCATTTTTGGACTGTCAATTTTCAAGTTTTCATAGATATGCTCGATCTACACTATTTTTTAAGCTTTAAATTTTATGACTAAAGATGAAAATATAATTTAAGTCTATCACAAAAAAATTCTATATTGAAACCATATTTCTCAACAATATTTTGAAGGTAGGCTCTAATTTGATTGTTTAGAGCCTCGTCTCTATACAAACCGCACCCCGATTTATAAGGTGGGGATTTAGAAGGGACCTAAAAAAAATTTAATATATATATAGGGTTTTAGGAGAGAAACAAACCATGACCCATACCACCTTAGAACTGACTCAGTCCCAACCAATTCTAAAACACTAGTCCAGAAAAACATCTCTCTTTAATGTAAAAATTTTCAAACAAAGGGGCTTTGACCCACCCCAATTAAATTATTTTTCCATCACCGTGTTTTACCAATGAATCATTTGTGAGCCCACCCACACTTGAGAATGGACGGCTTGTGCTAGTTGTTGCGTCTCTCTCTCTCTCTCTCTTTCTCTCTCTCTCTCTCTCTATATACATATATATACACACATACGATCTTGTTATCCCACTAGCTAACAACCATAGTGTAAGCTCAATGGTCCAGATTGAGTCTGAATCGATCCAATAGTCACGATTGTATTTCATATGTGAATTTTAGTTTTTTTTTTTCCTATATATAAATCCATCCTTGGATGACAATTAGGCTGCGCATTAATTTTACCGGGGTTCTCTCTTGACAGGTTTGGAATTTTGTTTAGATCAACAGCCTCATCATTTGCATTTCTCATAGACTGTTGAATAACAAGCCTTAAATTATCTATTTATAGATAATCTGTGTGCTTGGGAGTCCCTGATGATTGAATAAACCAAGATCTTGCCATGACTGCAATTTTAGAGAGACGCGAAAGCACAAGCTTATGGGGGCGCTTCTGCAACTGGATAACCAGCACCGAAAACCGCCTTTACATTGGGTGGTTCG